TCCTCGAGTTCAGAGCCAAAAGCAGAACCCGAGATGGTAGCTCGTAATCCGCCGCCACCGGAGAATGAATTGACAGAGTCAATCCTTGCTCCTCTTTTCACGAGGCCAAATTCAAGCATCGTCAGTCTTCAAATCGATGCCAACAACTTTGAATCCATCTGTCACTGATAGGATTGGTGGAGAAAACTCAGTTTGGCGGGAAAGATTATGAAGACCCCCATGATTTCATGGACAGATTTCTAAGAATCTGTGATACTACTAAGAAACACAGGTTATCAGGTGATGCCATTAGACTGAGGTTATTCCATTTTGCTGTAACAGGGAAAACTCCCAGATGGTTGGATAGACAAGCCCCCAATAGTATAAGAACATGGGATGAACTGGCGTCCAAGTTCTTCGCAGAGCACTTTTCCATGGAGAAATACATCAAGTTGGATAATGAAATTACCAACTTCACTCAACAGCCAGGAGAGACTCTATGCGCAGCTTAGACCAGATTCCAAGAACTGATCAAAAAGTGCCCCCAGTACGATTTGCCAAACGGAAAGAAAGTTAGAGTCTTTTACAATGGAATGACACTAGACTCCAGAATGTCGTCAATGGTGCAGATGGTGGAACCATAGGAAGAAGACAACAACTCAAACTTTAGAGCTGATTGACTACATGGCAAGAAACGAGAACACATCAATGGCAGTTCAACCAAGGAGGGGACTTCTGCAATTGGGGAATGATGATGCGGCTTTAGCTGAACAGAAGATTATATCTCAACAGCTCGCTAATTTGAATGCTAAGTTGGACAAGATGAAAATTTCCACAGCTCAAGTTAATTCAGTTAACTGTGAGTATTGCAAAGGAGAGCATGAGACCATCGAGTGCCCCACATTGGTAGGATTCGATGCACTCCAAGTTAATGGAGTCTGGTATGATCCAAGACCACCGCAGAACTTCCAGAGGAACCAGAACAACGCTCCAGGGAATAACTTCCAAAGGAGAGTTCAAGGGGGAGGTTTGGATTATAAATCCAACAATTACTTATAACCTCCTTCCATTCCACATAAGGAGCCGTCTGAATTGGAGAAAGCAATGCTGCAACTTTCTAAAACCGCCATTGACCATATCCAGACCACTGATGCTTTCATAAATGAGACAAGAGCCTATCATAAGAATCAAGATGCTTCCATTCGGAACTTGGAGAATTAGATAGGCTAATTGTCTAGGCAGCTAGCTGAGAGAAATCCAGGAATATTCCCCAGTGGCACCATAATCAACCCAAGGGAGCACTGCAATGCCATCACTGCTAAAAGCGAGATCTAGAAAAAGTGGAAGCTCCTACAAGCAAGAATGAGCACACACAAGAAGACAAAGAAGAAGCAAAGGAGCAACCTCCTGTAGTTCAAAAGAAGCAATGAAATTTCTCACGTTTTGAGAAACCTCCTTATCCTATGAGGAGCAAGCAACATGAGCAAAGGAAGCAATTGTTTAAATTTTTAGATATTTTAAGAAATTGCAAATTAACATTCCTTTTGTAAAAGCTTTGGAGAAAATTCCTTCGTATGCCAAGTTCTTGAAGGAGACATTATCTAAGAAGCGGAAGCTCACAGAGGATGAACATGTTACACTAACAGAGGGGTGCAGTGCAATCATACAGAAAAACTTGCCTCCATAGTTGAAGGATCTAGGGAGCTTCAGTATTCCATGCATCATCGGCAAGATGACTATAGAGAAAGTCTTATGCGATCTTGGTGCCAACATAAATGTGATGCCCCTCACCCTGATGAAGTAGCTGGGAATTGATGAAGTAAAACCAACGAGGATGAATGTTTAACTGGTTGACCGCTCAACAAAGCAAGCACATGGTATTGTGGAAGATGTGCACGTCAAGGTAAACAAATTTCTAATTCTTATTGATTTTGTTATTCTTGACATTGATGAAGATGTCAGTGTGCCTATGATCTTTGGGATGCCATTCCTAGCAACCTCAGGAGCGCTAATCGATGTACCTAAGGGTGAGTTGATATTGCGCGTGGATGGAAAGCAAGCAACATTCAAGGTACTTACAAATGAAGCTCCATTGCCTGCATCTCAACCTAAAGATCAAATTAACTACATTGCAAGGAAAAAGGTTGAGGAAGGAAACAAGAAGGAAGTCCATCAGCGGCATGAAGAACGCAAGCCAAAGGTTAAGATGGAAAAGCCCAAAAGTAAGGAAAAACGTGTGAAAACTAAGTTTAAAGTTCTTGAGAACTCTCCTCCTCATCCACATGCATACGATCATGGAAGGACATAATACTGGACCAAAAAGACTGGGTCATCAATGGTAGCGTGCTTTCGACCACCATAATCACAAGGGGTACGTCAGACTCGTGACGTAAAACAAGCGCTAATTGAGAGGCAACCTAATAAGTTTTTCAATTTTTATTTTATTTATTTTATATTATTTTTATTTTGTTGGTTATTTTTATTTTTATTTATTTTTTATTTTATTTTTGAAAAAAAAATTTCTTTTATTTTATTTTTTAAAATTTGATTATGAGATGGTGTATTTTAAAGTAGTTGTGAATGAGTGAAAAATTGGCGTCCCATACGCCAATTTGGCGTATCATACGCCACTTGAGAGTAGTTTCTGTGAGCAAAATTAATTCTCGTTGGCACCTCATAAGCCAACTTTGCGTATGATACGCCAAACTCTGTAAACATGAGAGAAAGAAAAGACGCTCGGGGCTCGTACGCCAAAGTGGCGTATGAAACACCACTTGGAAGGGATTTCCGTGTGTGTGTGAGTAAGATACTACTATCACACCCTGATTTGGCATATGATACGCCACAACAAAGCATAACTCATCTCCTTCAAGACCTTACCAAGTCCACCGAGCCCCCATCCTCCTCACACCCACATCCTTGACCGAACCCACCTTCACCAGCCCACAACCAGAGCCACCGGTCACCACCTCCTCTCTCCCACCATCTTCTTCAACCAAAACCATAAAACTACCACAAAACCCAGCCACCATCAAGGATCTCAGATCCACCATATCCAAAGCCTTTTTTTGCTCAACATTTCCCACAATCCACCTTCGATCCACATCACTCTGACCAAAACCCCATCACCGGACTCCACATAGCCCTCCCCCTCTTATTCTTCCATAACCAACCACAACAACATCATCACCGGCCACCACAAATTTGATCTATGGTTCATGTGTAACTATAGGAACATTGGTATATGAATCGAGTTGGTAAATTCATCTTTGATTTGTATAAATCTAGGATACATATGTAAACTTTATGATTCTTATTTTTAATGCTTAAATCATTTTGAGAAGCACTAAGGAATTAGGATTTTCTTAAAGGAGTAAAGGGTTAAAATACCAATTAATTGAGATTTAACTAAATTAGGGGAATTGATTGGCGATATAAAAATGATGATTAAATAAGATTTTAATTTAAAACATAAAGGGGAGATTGGGGAAAATTGAATCCTTAGTTATACCTATACCTTTCTTGATTGCATAAATCCTTGTTATTATGTTATTGTTTTGTTTTGTAATTACTTTTTACTAACTCTTGCACTTTATTAATTCTCTTTTAAAATTTTATGGTATTTTATAATTTTAATTTAATAATTCCAAACAATTATTATTTTTAATAAATTATTATTTTATTACTATATGATTATTTTTGCTCTTATCTTATCATTTTGGTAAACATTTTTTTTTGTTCTAATGTACTCACTTTGTCTCTTCTTTTTAATTTTTTATTTCTTTTTCTTTGAATTTAATATATATTTAATGATATCATTGAGTTTCGTCTTACTAAATAATATAGATAACGAAAGAGATTAATAAGTGGGAGAAAAAAAATCAACCCAAAATGGGAACAACTTTAATTTATATCATTAATGTTTTCCATTTTATAAGAGATAAAATTATCTCCTATATACATATAAAAATATGTGGGGTTCATATTTTTTATTTTTCTCTATTCATCTCAAATGGCTGCTCCCTCATACTTTTATGTATATGTAGGAGATAAGGGGCAGGCATAGGGGGGCTAGGGTGGGACACCGCCGCCCCCCAAAATTTAAAGAAATTTTTATATATATATATATAAAATAAAATTTGAGTAATATTATTAAATTTTATTTTTTATAATATAAAATTCCTCTCCATATCATGTAACACTCAACCTTTTTTTATTTCTATTCCTATTCCATTATTGATGTGAAAAAACGGCAAAAAAATTGATATATTGTTTTTTAAATAAAAAATTATGAATTTACGACAGTTTTGGAAATAATTACATATTTATTGCACAATATCACGCCCAATTTGGGCATCACCAATCACGCCTAAATTGGGCGTCACTCAAGAGGCAATCTCGTCTAATTTAGGCGTCACTCATCAAGTGTTGACACATGTCACATTGTTTTTCCAAAAAAATCAACTACATCAGAATTATGTCAAGGGCTAGCAAGAACTGGAAAGTCCATCATTTATCCTCTTATTGATAGAATGATTAGACTTGTACTCACTCTTTCAGTTTTTACAGCAACTACTGAAAGATCTTTCTCAGCTATGAAGATAATCAAAACCAGGTTTCGAAATAGAATGGAAGACCAATTTCTTAATGATTCTTTGATTACATACATTGAAAAAGAAATTGTTTTGAGTTTTAGCACTGATTCAATTATAGATGAGTTTAACAATATGAAAACACGTAGAGTAAGAGTCAACTGAAGTGATCTTAATTTCTATAATATATTTCTTTCAATTTTTTGCATATTAGGTCTGTATTGTATTTGAAGTACTTTTATTTATGAAGAGGTATTTTTATTTTTCGCTCCCTCTTAATAAAATTCATGAGTCTGCCACTGTAGGAGAAGGAAGATAAATTTATCTCATACAATATGAAAAACATCAATTCCTTAATTTATACGTATAAACATGCATAACAGACATCATTTGTTTGGAAATGAGCATAATCAGAGATCATAATCCCACTGAATTAGAAGATAGTTGTTAACTTATTGAAAGACAACCTGGTCCCAAAAACCGGGGACATTCTCGCTACGAATTCTTAAAACAGGTATGTTTAAACACAAAGACAACCTGGTAATTATTGAACATACAGACATGGAAGCATATTTATTTCTTGATGGTGCCATTCTCGGGAGTTTCTGCAGTACTAGGAAGAAGCCCTTTTTTCCTGCACGTGTCAACTGCTCCAGTATACATATCCTCCAAGCTGTATTTAAATTGAAATCCCAAGTCTTTGATCTTCTTGGACGAAAATCTGACAAGCTCCAATTGATCTGGAATATTCTTGAACCTAAAAATCCAATATGTACAATTAACACAACATAGAGTTTTATCTAATATATATCCATGTCGTTACTGTAATATACTTTCCTTTTCAGCATTATGTTACACATTTTAAGTGTGAAACTAATTTTTATTCACGATTTAAAATTTCCTTTCCCATAAGCTTTTTTCTCTCAACTTAGTTACTAAATTTAAATTTGCGTCTCATCTAAGCCATTAAATTTGGTTAATTGCTGTAATACTGTGCATGCAATGCAGTCAACGATATTTAAAGTAGCTCGGAAGATTTACTTTGTGGGGACATTGTACTCTGGGTATTTTTGGTTAATCAATTTTGCAATGTCATGGATATTAGCCTCGCATGCAGAGCATATGTATCTCCCTTCCACTATTGGCTGTTCAAACAGGTATATATGAGCAAGACAAAGATCATCTAAGTGGACGAATTGGCCTTGCTTTATGATCGAGTAATGTGCCTCATTTCCTGCAAATTTATGAGTATAACATTCAACATATATATTAAAAAATTTAATTTATTAGTTCACAAAAGAATAATAATATGGTCCTGATATATTTATATATAATGTACCGGTGATGGGTGAAAGAGCAGTGATTAGGCTAGGTGGCATTGTTGGCATAAGAAATGGACCCACAACAAGAGGTGGTATGACTGTGACGAAGTCAATGTTATGCTCTTTGGCAAATTTCCATGCTTCTTGCTCCGCCAGTGTCTTAGAAACGAAATACATCTACAAAAATGGAACCAAGTCTAAGGAGATTATTTATTCTCTTGGTTAATTGTTGTTTTAATTGTAATTTGCTGAATTAATTGGAATATGAAATTATAAAATTAAAGAAAAAAATGAAGAAATAAATAGTGAAATAAAGTCCTAACCCAGCCAGTCATCTTTACTCTTCGGCAGAACTCAAGGTCACTCCAACAGGACTCGTCGATGAAAAGCTTTTGCTCCTCTGTAACATTGAGAGTTCCCGCTGAGGATGTGAATACAAGCCTTCGGACAGTTTTGGCCTTCATGCATGCTTTCATGATGTCTAGTACTCCGTTTATCGTTGGCTTGATCACTTCATTCTGCACTTCCAATCAAATTTCCAACCATATATACTAGACTTAATCTCCATAAATATTGCATGATCATTTCAAGATTTTCATAATAAACTTGTTAGAGAAACTTAATATAAAATTATTAAGAAGACATTGTTAATTAACTTAAATTATTGGGTTAAATGGGTTATATTATATGATATCGGAGCTTCCGATCAAATAGTCAAATAAATTCGATCTTATCCCCTCATTTTTTAGTAAATATTAAATTATAAAATTTGTTAACAATTAATAAGTGGATCCGTATATTATTCGTCCTTTTAAACTTTTGTAGTACAAAATGTTGACATCACATGTTAGCATATGCTTTTGCATAACAAAAGGTTCAACCAGAGTGTGAAATAATAAATAAATAAATAGGGATAGCCAGATGAGGGAGAAGAAAATGGAATACGAATAACCAGGATTTGATAGAGAATCTCCTTAGACTTTGGTGGCAGTGCATATTTTTTATTTTTCTGTAGTTCTTGTTAGGGGACAAATTAAAAGTTGTCCCAGGATATTCCTAGTTTGTTCTGACATTTTTTAAATAAAAAAATGAAACAAAAGAAATTTATTCTGGTGTTAGTGGATCAACTATCAACTTTTTTTTTTTTTTTTTCATTTGATACATAAAGTCATTTTAAATCTTAAGGAGTAAATATAGTACCTTTCCCTGGCGGGGCAGTGGTCTTTGTCAGTGGTTTTTTTAATTAAATTAATCTTGTAACTCATCAACTTATTCTCGCATAAAAGGGCTACTCACTTTCACCAAGTAATTACCTCATTTAATTATAATGATTCAAGCATAACCCGATTGTGTTATATAATGAATGCGTGCAGGAAATAGCAATGTAAAGAAAATAATTTCTGAACTGGTCAAGAGAACCGGGTATGTATCCCACAAGGGCCATAGTATATTTATTTAGGAGATGCTTTTAGCGACAATGGTATAAACCAAGGTCCTTATGAAATTTCTCAAGTGCTGTGTAACAATGTTGAGAGGTATTCAGTGGCTATGATAGTTCTCTAAATGAACAGAGTAACAGTTCATAAAAGTAACAACGATGATATCTTAATAGTCAGAGGGAATATTGATAAGTGGGGTTTGACCTTCTTTGTAAAAAGGAAGAGTAAGGAAGGATGAGACAACCTGTATTACCATAAAGTAACAGTTCATAAATGTAATAACGATGATATCTTAATTAGTCAGAGGGGATATTGATAGGTGGGGTTTGACCTTCTTAGTAGAAAGGGAGAGTAAGGAAGGATGAAACAGCCTATATTACCATAGCTTGGTCCTGGTCTTGCTTGGGCATGCAAGACGCATTATAGCTATTGTCAGTGTACAATAACGAACAAGAGGGAAACCTCATCCGGAAGCCATGGCTTGTCTTCTGGAAGCCTTTAAATATGGACCCATCATATTGGGCCTAGACCACTCGGCTGGCCGGAACAATTTTGATAGCAGAAGGCTCCATCCAGCGGTGAAGTTTGAAACTAACATAACGTTTTACAAACTTTTCAATAGTATATTTGAGTGTAACAGTCAATTATAGGAGCTTTTTTTTTTTTTGGTAATCAATTATAGGCGCTTTTAATACGACCAAAAGACACCACAGTTAAATATTCCAATTTGAAACATAATTAACCGTAACTTTAGAAGATATTAAATGGACATTAATTCCATTTAATTCAATTAAAATATTTCCAACATGTATTCATGAAATATTTGTATACCAAAATAGCCTCATTTTGGTATATTATTTTCTAAATATATTTTCTAAAAATTTGGTGTTTTTACCCAAAACAAATATACTAAATATACAAATATACTAAGTGATAATAAATCATTTCATCAAGCGTTTTATACTAAAACGTAGTGTGGGATCTTAATATACAGTACCAGGGATGATAGGAGTTAGCAGTTTAAGATTTTTATTGAAAACTCTTAAAACCTTAGTGTTCAAGTGATGGATGACAAAAAAAACAAAGTGTGAATTAATGAGCATACCTCAGGGTCCTTGGACTCAAAATCCATGGGCGTAGCCACATGGAAAACTCCGATGCACCCTTTTATGGCTTCGTCAAAGCTTCCCTCTTCAGCAAGGTCAGCCTTCCACAGAGATAGGTTGGTATTTGCACCTGGCAGTTCCAGCAAATGCTTCACCTTCTTCATGTTAGCTGCAGGGTACATGCATATAATGCTTAGTTTTAATTATATTATTTTTGTTAATTGGTTGATTAAAGAGGTGAATTTGGGCATGACATAAAAAATGATGGAAAAAATGGGACCTGGGTCGCGCACGGTGGCTCGAACCTTATAGCCATGTTCGATGAGTCTCATGACAAGCCATGATCCAATGAAACCAGCAGCCCCTGTAACGCAAACGGTTTCGGATGCTGAACCCATATTCTATCTTCTCTTCTCTCTGTTTTGTTTTGTTTTTCCTTTTTTTCTTTTTTCTTATTGGTCTTGGCTTGAGAGTGGAATGGAAAACAATGCATGGACTGGGTGCTTTTATATTGGCTTTTGCTCTATAAGAGGAATGAGGAGAAGGTGAGATTTACCTATCAGTCTAGAAATTTTTTTTATTTTTTTTTGTAAATATCAGTCTAGAAATTTCGTTGTACATGGATGTTAATTGTATGACAATTATATAAGAGTTTAACTTAAAAAAACTTATTAAGGAATAAATCAAACAAGACAATTTTAGTAAAAGATGTTCCTTCTATAAATTCTCGAGATATGTATACCAGATATTTTATTCATATATTTAAGCTTGTTTTGCTATGTTTTAATTTTCTACCTTTCTTGAGGAGAAGACAATCCTCCCCCACTTATAGCTTATTTATATATTTAAACTTGTTTTTCTATGTTAAGTTGAATATTTATATGTCGTTAATATTTTTTATTAATGAAAATGATTCTTTGCCAAAGTTAAATCTCTTAATTGCTAAATTTTTTAGCAGATTCATGATTGCTAATTCTAAAATTTCTATCTTTTAATTTGTTTATCATAAATGAAAAAATAAACTTTCAAAAAGCATACTTATATTTCTAACCCTTTGTTATGGTCGGGCTTTTAGGTATGTGTCACCTCTTCGCCCAACACGTGACCATCAAACAATAAAGGAATTTGGCATTTGTTAGCTGATTAACCGTTGGTCTAGGGCTGCGGCTGACTGGTTGCTCTATTATTTCTTTTCCATGCATTTAGAACGTGGAATTAAGATATAGGAAAATTATTTTTACGCTGTTGGAGAGTAATTCTCTTTTTTATGTATATATTAATTTTCGTGTAGTTTAATTTTTATTCTTTTATTTTTTATAAGTGGGTGGATTTTATCCATAATTGTGTCTATAATAGGAAAGAACTTATTTTTATAACATAAGATTAATAAAGCCCTTAAGATATAGGATTATATTTATCTTATTTTACACGAGAGAAACAAATTTTCTACACACTTAAAAGAGAGGTGGAACCCATCTCTTTTCTTTTTCTCTCCTCTTACATGTGAGTCACTTGTAATTTTACTTCTATTATATAAGATAACATTTTTTTTATAACATAAGAAAATTATTTATTATATATATATATATATATTTATATATATAGGAATTTACATTTCTTCAGTTGCTGTACGTGCAGCAATCAAATACTTGTCATATGTATACTTAAAAGCATTAAATGTGGGAAATCATAACCATACACTTGTCGTTGTTGTACGTAAAGCGGCTGCAGAAATGATTTTACCATATATATATAAAAGAGGATTCTGTCATCATGTGTCGTTCGTAATTTTTAATGATAAATGAATCGGTATTAAAACCACTTTTAATTGAAAGAGGATTAGAAAAAAGGTAAAGTTAATAAATGATAGTTAAAATCAATGGCAATAGATAAAATATACAATAGATTTAGGGATAGGATATTGTGACACACAAATAATGTTACGCACAATGTTACGACCACATCTTAACCGTTGATTTCCGTCAATCAACGGTTATCATTTTTCAAAACAAACTCATTAATTAATTATTAATTTGTAATAAATGATAACCGTTGATTGACGGAAATCAACGGTTAAGATGTGGTCGTAACATTGTGCGTAACATTATTTGTGTGTCACAATATCCTATCCCATAGATTTATCATTAAAAATGATAAATGATAGAGATATTCTCATATAATATAAACATGTTAAAATGAGACAAGAGAATATAATTTCTCTCCATATATATAGTAGATTATATTGCTACCAATTCAATCTTTCTACTTTTATGTATCATCATACTTTTATTATCACTTTTGCATTATATATTGAGCGGTATTTAAATTAATGGCTTCTAATTATACTGAATCTCATTACATGAAGAGAGAGTAGAAATAGAGAAAAAGTAATATGATTCATTGTTCTTGTAAGCCATTGATTTATATATCATCTAGTTGAGATGGGGTCCCTATATCAGCACAAAAGCAATCACAGGTCGTTAAGTGAAGCTCGCAGCTTAGCACTTGAAGGTCGATATACTATCAGTAGGTCGGTCCAAAGCAGAAACAAGAAAATGCATAAAATAGAGAGATGGAGAAGAAAACACAAGTTTTAACATGAAAAACCTCCTATAATGCAGATGAGTAAAAATCACGGGACCTATTCTAGAAAATCTTCCATTATGATAATAATGGGATTAAAAAGATTCAAGCTTCCCCAGTCACACTGGAGGTATATTCAAACTTCACCATCAAATGGTACTTACAAAGTTCTTCTCTAAATATGTCACTCTCTCAAACTTCTCTTCGGAGGATTTTCTCACACAAAATCTCTCTCTCTCTAACCTTTTACAAAGATTTTCGTATCTTTATATAATGAGGTGAAACCTTTCACCTTCTTCTAGAATCTTCATCATAGAAGAGGTAGGTAGCATTTATTGGAGCGGTTATTCAGACATTGAGTCATGCATAAATAAATGTAGCGTATGCTTAGCCACCAAATATCAATGGAAGAACACACTCCATCAAATCTTCCCTTCCAACTTTAATGCGTCGGGTCCAACAACCCGACATCTTGATAGCAATCTTCAAACTTCCTTGCTAACATCGACTTTGTCATCATATCGAACTAATTCAGGTTAGTGTACAGTTTGACAAGTTCAAGCTTTTTTTCCTCTAACATATCCTGGATCCAGTGTTGCCTCACTTCTATATGTTTAGTACGGGAGTGATAAGTCGAGTTCTTTGCCAAGTGAATTGCACTTTGATTTTCACACTTCAACTCGTACTTTTCTTGTTCACGGTCGAGTTCAAAGAGGAATTTTTTCATCCACGTCATCCCCTTACATACTAATGTTGCAATAGGTATTTGGCATTGGTCATCGAAAGTGCCACATATTTCTCAAGTTTTGATTGCCAAGAGATAGCTCCTCCTGCAAATGTCATCAAAAACCCATCATCGACTTTCTTGAGTCAACATCTCCCCCTAAATCAGCATTTGTAAAGTCTTCCAGCTCAGTCTTACCTTCTCCAAATCAGAGGCATAGATTTGTTGTTCCTTTAGGATACTTGAAGATCCATTTGACACCTTCCCAGTGTTTTTTGCAGGGATTTGACAAATACCGGCTCACCATCCTAACTGAACATACCATTATGTACATCAAGCTTCTGACAACGGACTTGTACAGGATTTTTAACATTTCATCATTTTCTTAATAAGAGCTCTTATATTGTCTCTGGCTTAATTTTATATTTTAGCTAGAGGGATGCTTATTGTCTTGGCTTGATCCGTGCTAAATTTATTCAAAATTTTCTCAATGTATTTTTCTTGGAAAAGTCGTAATACTTTTCAATGAAAGAATCTTATAATTTTAATTCCTAATATCTACTTTGAGGGCTAGGGTCCTTCATTGAGAAGGACATGCTCAACGCCTTCTTCAAGGCGATATCTTGGACTTGTCTTTCCCTACAATAAGCATATCGTCAACTACAGTCGACATATGGAAATGATCATAAGATGCTTTATGTCATTTCCATACTTTATTTGAATTTCTCCTTCAAGGGGTCTTGATGGTGATAGATTCATGAGGTCGACTACAGTCCTGATGGCCTATCCCCATAAAGAATTTTGTAACCCAGTAATGGATAATATACTCCAAATTATTTCCTCGATAGTCTGGTTCACCCTCCCTCTTAGCTACTTCATTTAATTGAGATGTCTTTGGGGGCATCTTCTCCAATCTGATTCCTGCCGCTCAACAATAAGCATCGAAAAGCGGCAATATTCTCTCTTATTCGCAAATTAAACTACTTTCAGCTTCTTGTCAATCTCTCGTTCTACCATAGCGTAGAATTCTTTAAAGGCTTGAAGTATCTGATCTTTGGAACACAACAAATAAACCCACAGCTTTTAGGAGTGGTCGTCAATAAAGGAAAGAAAGTATTGAGCCTTATTGTGTGTTCTTTTCGACATGGAACAGACATCGTGTAGTCGAGTCAAGAATATATGTGCGCTGTATAGGCTGATTTAGTCTTACTAATGAAACCTGGTGGTGCTACTTTCCAGCAAGGTAGTGCATACAGCTCTCCAATTTATGCCCTTTTAACCCAATCAAGAGTCCTTTCCTGTTCAGAATTTAAAGTTGTTTTTTGCTCATGTGGCTGAGATGCTTGTGCGAAACTCCATGTTATGTCCATCATATATAGCGTTGGCTTCTCCACTGTTCATTTTTCCTTCCATTACATATAAGGATCCTTCTTTCTTGCCTCAAGCAACCAGCAAGTTCCATTTTGCCAGCTTCCATCTTCCTGCACCAAAATAATTTACTAACCCGACATCATCTAGCAGCTTTCCTACCGAGATTAGGTTGAGGCGTATGTCTCACCTCTTTCAGTACATTTGACAACTGGTATTCATGGTCAAGGTCATATCACCAACCCCAACAAGCTTACTGGTGACATAGTTTTCCACCTTCACAACTCTGAAGTCACCACTTCTATAGGAAGAGAAAAGCACTTGTGTGGAGTGACATAGAATGAGGCACTTGAATCAACAATCCAGGCATAAACATCATAAGCAACATTTAGAAAATTATCCTTACCTAGGAGGAAGACCTCGACATCAGTGTGCTCTTGTCTTATTTCTTCTTGGGCTCTATCTAGTCCGGCTTGACATTGCCGCTCTTCTGGTCTTTCTTCAGAGTCTGACAATCTGCCTTCTTGTGTGCAGGTTTCCCACAATATAAGCAAGTTAGCTCATAGTTCAGCCTAGACCGGTCTCTACATTTATCTCGACCTTAACTCTTACTTTTCCCCGAAGTCAAACTTTCCCTTGTTCTCAGCAACGTTCCCCTCGGACGTGCTGAATACGCCTTGCTTTCTTCTTCTGGGCTCCTCATCGAAGAGGTTGACAGTCACAATGTCCATTGTCAATCTTGGCTTTGGAGCCAAGTTGCTCAAAATCACTACCAGAGTATCCCAATTTTCTTACAGCAAACTAAGGA